TGCGCTCATGGCATACAGTCCCATGTCATCAATGTAAGCTGTAATACAAATGAGAGAAAATGAAGTCCAATAAATAAGAAAGTGAGAGAATGGATGATTGGATAGAGAGATAGGAGGAAGTTAGAAAAGTGGGAAGGAGGGGGGGGGGGGGGGGGGGGGAGGGGGAGGAAAGAGAGGTAGGACAAAAGGGTGGAGGGGGGAGGATAGAGAGGTAGGACAGAAGGGTGGAGGGGGAAGTGGGGAGGGGGAGGAAAGAGAGGTAGGACAGAAGGGTGGAGGGGGAGGAGGGGGGAGGAAGGAAAACAGCACTAGTGAAATAGGGATACCCTTCTAAAGAGAAACTGTGTTAGCAGCGCTGTGAAAGTAGTACTGAATACTGTTTCGAATGCACATTGAACCGCGAAACAAAACTAGTGACACTCACCTCTCATCGTGTAAAACAATAGGCGAAATATATCATTACCAGGCCGTTTGCTGATGAGCATCACTTCGTGGGAAGCCTGTGGCGTCTGAAAACATTATGACAAAAAGATATAAGATCTACTTTAAAACAAACAAAAAATGTAAGCGACGTGAAAACAGTAATTTGCAATATCAGCATGCCCAATAGACCTTCCAATGTTTTCTCATTTCAGACCACGTGTCATTCCCCTTATAATTCGGATTCTTTGTTCTACTCTCATCCATAATTATGTATCTACTCAAGTGTTTCTGGGTGTAAAGAAATCATACTCAAGGAAATGGCACGAAGCAGGTTGATCTGTCTTTTCCTTCACTATCCCTTTTTTCCCCAGTAACGCTAGAGAAGACACACGAATATGGACGAAACTCGACAAAGAATCTAGTTCTCGAGAGAATACCGCATGGTAAGGTCATCTATGGTAAATATAGGTGTGATACAATGAAGAGAGGTACATACCACATACGCCATTGCTGTAGCCTCTCCAAAGTGAACCGTAAGACCCAACAAGCTGTGTACCTGTAAAAAAAAGGGCCATTAGCTGGCAATGCCTCTTACATACTAGACATGTAGCCTCCCCGAAAGGAACCGTAAGACCCAACAAGCTGTGTATCTGTAAAAAAGGGCCACTAGCTGGCAATACCTCTATCATACTAGACAGACTTGCATTGCGCACTAGGGAAGGGAAGGCACCCTTTTAATGACTGGTCTTGGCTGTGACACATTTGCAATGCGCACTAAAGGAGGGAAGTAGCCTTTTCATGGGGTGGACTCGGCTATTGATTTTTCACTCACTATACCACAATAAAAAATACCTTCCTAATGCTGCGATGCGCGCGCAACAGAAAAAAAAGCAAGGAATTATATGCTTAACAAATGTTATACGATAAAACTTACCTTAACGAGATGAGTGAAGTAGTTTGCTCCTTGATGATTTCTCGAGTAGGAGATCGCTGCCTCGTGAAGACGAGCCCACTTTGCTGTAGTATGAAAGTCAATTTAAAAATTAGCTTTTATGAAACTCTGAAAAATCCTCTGGGCCGGTCTAATTCAGAGTACGAATAAATAAAACCGTTAAGCGCAACTTTGGACTTTACAGTCAAACTACCTCAAGCGTGAACATGACTTTATTTTTGGATTCTTGATTTCATTATTCGATTCGAACATTCATTAATGAAAACGAATCTTCAATATTTGAAAATTAATAATAATTTGAAAATTCGATTAACTTGGCTTGTAGGCTCTTGTTTATAGCGCAATCAGAAGGTAAGTTATTGTTATTACATATTCCTTGCACAAAAAGTTGTTTTTGCATTTCAGTTGCATATATGCTTGGCTTTTGTATATATGCCAGGCTTTGAAGATTCGTTTTCAATAATGAATGTTCGAATCGAATAATGAAATCAAGAATCCAAAAATAAATTCATTAATGACCTCTATGTGTTCACGCTTATGGTAGTTTGATTGTAACTCAAAAGAGTTAGACAAATAAGTTTTAATCGACATGCACAAATAAAAGAAAGTTTTAAAAGTTTTAAAATTTTCCCGGAAAAATTATAAGTTTTGCTGTGTGTTGTAGCGCAGACATGACATGACAGACGCAGAATTTATTTACAGCAAGGTTTAGAAAATTTAACCTTCCGTTGTCAGCCGGCGCTAAAAAAAATATTTGCAATTTTAAGTCTGCGCATGCTCACAAAGACACAATTTTCTCCTTGTCAATCACCACCTGGAATGCACGGTTTTTGATTACGAATTCCAAAGAGAAGACGGCGCCAGAAGTCTCGGTACAGGTTGCAGCCTTATGTATGCGCATGCGCACGATTACTAGCAATCCTCGTGCAAAGACAAGCTCCCTTGTTAATCGCCAGGTTATGCGAGGTTTTTGGCTACAAATGAAATTTAAAAAAAACTGATTGATACGGCACGGTACAATTCGCCGCGTTTTGGTATGCGCGTGCGCACTAACACTAACTTTCTAACAACAAAGACCCTTTATCGGTGTTTATTTAGTTCATAAGATGATCGTACCGTAATACTGTCCCGAGGCAAGGTTAACATGAAGATGCGGGTGTGGCTGGCTCGCACTTGCTTTACTCAGAACATCCCAGTAAATATGAGGATACGAATACTCTTTATCTGCGTTGTGTGCCTTGACAAACCTTAATTAGGAAAAAAAGAAGAAAACAATTAGTCATGATGGGTTGTAACTTCCATTGCCTAACTGAAATGAAGTGGGCAAAAATTAAGCAATCGGATTGGTTATTTAAGCCTTGTTTACACTAGTGCCGGGATTGGTATCGGAAGCAACATACGCATTAATCACCTAGGTGTGAAAAAAGACACTGTTAATGAGTACTATTGTTATATAGCTACGAAATTTTCCAATATAACGAACACTCTCATTGGTTGAAAGATGACCACGTGACACTAGTTAAATCTAAATGTATCCCGACCGGGCGGGAAATAAGTTGCACGTGACAATAATCGTGAACGTGAAAATCGCTGATGGCGTGATATTTTGCAGCAATCAAAAACAACAGAGCGGGAGCAGATATTTTGCTTGAATTTTCAGTACAAATGGAGCTCGAAGCGAAACAATAGAGATTTTCCAGCGTTTCTACAGAGAAATTACAGACTTTTATTGACAAAAAGGATTCGGAAAATACGAAAAAACTGACTAAAAATGCTGTTGCTGCTCTCCTCGCTTTTTGGTAGAAACAGGATTCAGAATAACTTCGCATATTTCAAAACCCGTGTTCGCGTCAAATTCAAAGAATTTTTAAATAACTTTGCCAACTTTGCGGCAAAAATGAATTGAATACCATTTGCTTTTACTGAAAAGTTTAAAAAAAGG